GTCTCGCCGCCAAGGAGAGCGGAGGGCCCCGCGCCATGGCCGCCTACCTGACGCACCAGCAGAAGGTGCTGCGGCTCTACAAGAAATCCCTGCGGCACCTGGAGTCCTGGTGCATCCACCGGTGAGCGGGGCGGCGCGGGGGGCCCCACGGCCCTGCTGGTTTGCTCTGCCGGCCTGTCCCATCGGCTTTTCTTCCTCCTCCTCCCCGTCTCAGTGATGGCGGCGGTGGGAGGAGAAGTCTCCTCGGTCACAGAACCGCCCGTGTCCCCCGGGAAAGGTGCCCTGTGGCAATAGGGGACCCCTCGCAGCCGAGCCCTGCCTTCGTGCAGGGGTGGCTGGCGATGCTGCTCTGCTTTAGTCCTTGCCGCCCACCCTGTTTTCTCCCTCCCCCTCATACACGCAGTGTTTGTTACTAGCATTGCTTCTCTCTGTAGAGACAAGTACCGCTACTTTGCCGTCCTCCTGAGAGACCGCTTTGACCAGCACAAGAATGAGAAGGACATGGTGAGGGCCACGGAGCTGCTGAAGGCCGGGGAGCAGGAGTTCTGGGAGAGGCAGCATCCTCAGCCCTACATCTTCCCCGACTCACCGGGGGGCACCTCCTATGAGAGATCCGAGTGCTACAAGGTGAGGGGGACTGTGCTTGGCGCCAGCGGGCTTGCCTTGCTCTTTTTTAGTGAACGAAAAAGTGTTTTAAGTAGCCTTTTGTAGTCCTACTGTTTGTATCAGTAGTAGCTTCTTGCTGGAAAAACTTCGTGGCCTCTTGGCAAGTCGGAGCTGCCCTGTGGTGGGTTGGACAGAGCCAGTGCAACGTGGCAGAGCTGCGAGAGGAGTGAGGGTGGCACAAGCAGGGCTGCCCGTGGTGGGGGCACCTGCCCACAGCCCAGTTTCCACCCTGCTCCTGTCCCAGTGCAGCTTGGCCTCGGGGAGCTTCCCTTTGCTCAGTCCCGTGGCTCCTCCAGCAGTTTGAGCGAGGTAAAAACGACAGTTTCCCTTGGTGTGTTGCAGTGCTAGGTAAGTATTTGAGAGCTGTGGTGCTTAGGCCTAAAACAGTCGTATTACTAGAATTTAAAATACTTTTAGAGATTTTTTTCTTTCTAGGTTGTATTATTTACAGATAAATAAACTTTGTTTTCACTTAAAAACAGTTTTTTGACTTTTTTGGGTTTTTTTGGTGTTGATTATTTCTAAGTAGTTGATATAGAGATTATGCACCATTTTTTTTCCTCCTGCATTTTGAAGAAAATGCTGATACCCCACACTAGATCTGATCAGGTCTGTATGTATAAGATGCTATATGAAAGAAGAAAAAATGACACTAGACGCGGAAAAAAGGAAAGTTTTAGGAATGAGTATTGAAGAAAGGAGCAATTAAGGTTAATACCAAAGTCTTAGGCATTTAATAATAGTAGAAGCAACGATAGAGCTAACAATAATAAAGAATAAGGATCCAGGCAGGAAAGATGTTGGCTAAGAAGTAGTTTATCAGATTGGTCTTGATATAGAAATACAAAATTTTTATGTTTTCTTCTTTTCTATACTTTTTTAAGCCAGAACTATATTTTAACAAAACTAGTATCATGTCAAGGATTTGGTTTGTTATGGTTGTTTATTGTGGGTGCAACTGCTTTAAAAATAATATGTAGATCTTCCTCTATTTGATGGGTTTGATTGGCATTTACTGCATGTGGAGAGGGGTGTGTAAATGTTACTGTTAAGCCTCATTAGTGGTGAGAAGTCTAGCAAGAAACTTGGAAACATTACAGAACGATTGAGGTCTGAAGAAGTCATATAATAAAAAAGATCTTCCAGGCCACTAATTTTTCAATAGCAGTAGACGTGAGCTGTTGGGTTCACTCTGTCGTAAAGAAAATGAATTAGTAGTTGTAGAAAAGGATCTGTCTAATCCACTGCCTTCAAAGTAGGAGGGAAAGAAATGAAATCTCTTCTGTTAGATGCAATTACTTGGAGAGCTTTAAGTAAACTGAGATGACCTGGGATCAGTCTTTGGGCTGCTGTGATTTAAGCAAGTCACTGTAACTTCTGATAACCCGTGAAACCAGGATTAAAAACATTGACCTCTGACGTGTCTTGTAATCAGCAATTCAGATAACTCTTAAATTGTGTTTTTATGCAGTACTTTATGGTATATTTACCCATTTTAACCCTGGTTTCAATGAGGGAATTGAGTTCTTTGTTGTGTACGTATATGCACATATGCTTTTTCAAGAACACCCGTGATGTCCTCTTTTTTTGTTCCTGTTGGCAGGTTCCTGAGTGGTGTTTGGATTTCTGGCATCCCTCTGAGAAGGCAATGTATCCCGATTACTTTGCCAAACGAGAGCAGTGGAAGAAACTGCGGCAGGAAAGCTGGGAAAAAGAGGTCAGTGCCTGTTCAGCACCAAGTCCAGAGCTCCTGCAGCCGGCGAGTCTCCTGTGTTGCATGTAGTTAGTTGTGCTCTTGAAAAATGTTTTAAGTGAGAACAGTGAGTGCCTACTGCAATCTTAATTAGACTGTGCTTTAATACAACTTCACTCAGCACGAAACACTTAAAATGCATATGCAGAATTCTCGAATTCTCAAAGAATTCTCGAATGCTGCCTGAGGTCTGAGGTCTCCTCTGACTTGCTTGTCAGGAGGACAGGAGGAGGTTGTTGGGGACTTGTAATTATTGGAAGCTTTCAGAGCAGCAAGGGAACACAGTCTGTTTTTAATGTGCAATGGTAGACATGAATTAGGAAGAAACAATGAGCTTTTAAGTGAAACTTCTCTTGTAAATCGCTAGAACTCCTTTGTGTTGACATGAGCCTGCAATGAGTTTGTAGTTACACTGCGAAACACAAAATGTGTCTGTCAGCTTAACAGAAGAGATTGCTGCCTCGTGCTCCCCTTCCAGAGCCGAGGCCGGTTTCGCTGGCTGTCCGAGTGTAAATCCGCCCTGAGGAGCTGCTGGGGGGGCGCTGAAGCTGCTGTTTGTTTTGCCTTTCAGGTGAAGCAGCTGGAAGCAGAAACCCCACCTGACGGCCCCAAAACGGAAGCGCTGCCGCCGGCCCGCAAGGAGGGGGACCTGCCGCCGCTGTGGTGGCAGTATGTGACGAGGCCCCGCGACATCCACATATGAAACCACCACTTCCACGGGCAAGTTAGAGCCCCCTCTGTGAGCAGCAGCATGTCAGTGAGAGTGCTGCTCCAAGTAACACACAATAAAGACGAGTAAAACAAAATGGGAGGCGTTTTTGTGGCGTCTTGTTCTGTTAGAGCGTGTTAGAGGGGGCACGCGATTGCCTTCCGCTCGTGCAGCGATGAGAGGTGGCCTAACAGCAGCTCTGTGTGTGCGACGCTGACGGGAGCGCTGAGCTGCACGTCAGGGGTTGCCAACACCAGAGCAGGCTCAAGGGGAGCGTAGCTTGTGAAGATTAATCCTGCCTGAACTGTGATTTCACAGATAAAATCTGAACGGTGCCTAACTCGGGTTTTACCTCGTGCTGTGACTTGGGCCTCCTCGCGCAGGTGCCCGGCCTCGCTGCCTGCGTCGAGCCCGAGCGCCCGGGGAAGAGGAGGAGGAGAGAGGCACAGCCAGCTGGCTGCCTCTCACAGGGCCTGCGTGCCTCGGCAGGGAAGGCCGAGGTGTGAAGGGTGCCCAAGAGCAGGTACTGATGGCAAAGCAGTTACATCCTGCCAAGCTTGGAACTTGCACCAAAATCCTAATATTTAATACGCAATTCAAGTGCTCAAAAGAACGACTGTTTTAAAAGAAAACACCAATCCATAAGGTCTGGCTTGAAGCTCTAATCCCTGCTTTCAAGCATGAGTAGCAACCGCTGCCTTGGAAGGGTTAAAACATTAAAACAGAAGCAAGGTCAGTAAATAGCTAGAAAATCAATGAAATCTAAGAATATATACTTTTTTTTTTTTTTTCCCCAAAAGTTGGTCTTACTGAGCTGCACTACAGAATGACAGGTTAACTTCCTTATGCATAGATGAATTCCAGTATCTTCCACAAAGACTAAGATGGAAAAGTTCACAAAAAATTATGATCCTTTCCTCGGGGATATTAGCGTTAATATAAATCATGGCCTGTGGAGGGTGCTGGGGAGGAGAAGGTGCCGAAGATGCAGCAGGAAACAACATGCAATTAAGCTGATGCTTAACTGGGGGTCTAGAGCTAGGAGCAGAACAGGAATTGCACTGCTGGGTGACTGCTCCTATGAGGCTGCACAGCAGCAGAGCAGCTCGCTGCGAGGTTCAGCTTCGTTCTTAGGCATTGCGGCTTCTGCAGGAAACTCAGCTCCCGAGAGGGGAAAAACCCCGGCCCAGTAAAACGCCAGCCGAGGCCACAGCTGCCCGTGCGCCCCGTGACAGCGGGTTTGTGCTGCCTGGGAAGCTCCAGGGCGCTCCCGACCCACCGCAGCGCTGCTGGTGCTTGGTGGGGGGAAAGGCAGCATGAGGCATCTTGCTGCAATTCAGGACTTCTAGACATCCCTCTTCATTAAGCCCAAGCTACTCGCTCACGTTTTTGAACGTGTCCATCCTCCCAGGAGGCTGGAGCTTTCTCTGCCTGCGGTCAGTCCAGCTGCAGTAGCTGAGCTCAGGACTGGAAGCTGCAATTGGCCTTTCCCCCCCCTCCCGCTTTCTTCTCCAGCCAGAGAGATGGTTTCCAAAACTGAGGGCACGTGTTCACGTCAGGAGTTTCAATCCATGCTGGCCCCTTTCCTCATTTGTCCTGGCTTTCTAACACAGCGTCCGCTCTGCCAGAATTCCCAAGCTATCCTTAACTAAACTGCAAAAGGCACTTTTTGCTCTAACAGCTTCCTGCACATCAGCCTGTGCAAAGGGCAGAACTCAGGGGTCTGGCCGGGCCCATGCCCAGGGACGCTCGGTCATGGCCCCAGCCCCAGAGGAGCTGCCTGCAGCTTGGGGACGGAGCAGGCTGAGGTGCAGCCACCCTGAGCACACCTCAATTTTTTGGCTAGGAAGCTGAGCAAAACCCCCCTCCTGCTTATTCCAGCCATCTGAGCAGGTTTCATTGATGTTCTCAGCAGATGCACAGGCCACAGCCCTGCACGAAAACAGAACCCTTTGCACACACAAATGCAAGTAAGTGCAGCAGAGATTCAGTACAGACACGCTGGGGAGATGCTCAACATTATGGAGCCTGTACGGCTCAGCAGTACAGGGCATCGGGGAGTAAGTTACAGCCATGGAGAGAAGGCAGGAATGAAAATACAGCCCTTCTAAAGACACAACTGACTTCCAGCCCAACCACCTTGGCTTTTCCTGTAGCGCCTGCATGACAAATCGGAAGCTCAGAACTAAACTGGATCCGTCGCAGTGGAAGGGAGTAAGTGAGGTGGCCGCGTGGGGGCTCCGCAAGGCTCCAGGCACGCGGCCACGGCGCTCGCCGTGCGCTGGACAGTTCTGCCCGGGAGCTGCGCGCTCCGCACGGCAGCAACGGCGGCTGCACGGCCCTTCTTACTGCAGGCCGGGCACAGACCTGTCACCTTCCTGGCCAGGTAACAACTGCCAGGGACAGCGACGCCACCAGCAGTTAGTGGGAGTTCCCACCATCATCCCTGCTGTGGTACCTCGCCTGCTTCTTCCAGCAGGCATCAGTAAAAGCTCTGGAAGCAGAAAGGATTTTGTGGGGTTTTTTGTTTGTTTGTTTGTTTTTAATGAACTAATACAGAAGTTTTCCAGTAGTTCTTTATTCATAATGTAGGCTTAAGCAATCATTACAATGTAGAAGGGAGACACACTTACAGCAAGTATTTATACCAGTTTAGAACAAAAAACTGCACAGGGAGAGGTCAACTCTCAGTACAAACTAGCAACTAAACCACAATAATTTACCATTAGAAACATTTTATTTTTTAGCTGTGACACTGCTTTTACAATATGCAAAAACACAAACAATAGAACTATCCCAAGTGTTTTGTCACATTCTTTCTACATTGAATTTGGCAACATTTTATATTAAATTTTACTGATTATACTAACGTTTAAGAACTAAACAAGTGAAAAGCTGTACTCAGGTACAGTTACAGCCATTTATTTCAAAGGTTTAAATAACACTTGTAACTATTGAGATTATCTCCTAGCAGGTTCTGTTTATGTAAAAACCATCTCCGAGCCTCATTTGCACAATGCATCAGCTACTGTATCAAGATTGGTGGGCCACACCACAGGCACTACTGTTGATTATATTCTGTAGTAAGGAGCTTGTTTTTCAAAGAAAGGAAGGTTTAACATTTTCTAAGAATCATGCCTTTTTTTTTTTTGCCTTTTTTTTTTTGCCTTTAAGCCATAACCAAAAAAAAAAATGTTTGCACCACAGCAGTGTAAAATGTCCTACCAAACACAGCGACTACACAGTTACAAGGAGGTTCACATCCAGTGCAGTTATGTATTAAAGCATAGAGGTTATGGAGCAAGCCCAGAGGCAACAGAAATGTGCAGAGCGTTCGGCGGACGCCGGCCCCGCGTGCGGTACTCGCTGTGGCTGGAGCAGCCCCAGGGCTGGCACCACCAACGGGCTCTGCAAACTTCCACCAGCTCCAGGGGACGGGGACTGCAGCGCTGGCTTGCTTTTATTTTAAGGAAAAACACCCAACTCTTATTAGTTCTATCAACAGTGTTCCAAAAAACATGGGCTTAAAATACAAAAAAAAAAAAGAGGATATAGTGGTCGGACTCCCAGGAACACCAAATAAAAAAGAGTATCGCTCCCCACCCCCCCCCCACCTCCCTGTTCTTGTCAGTATTTAATAAAAGCCAATCAACTGCCATTGAAAAGAAGGTAAGAAAAACAAGCCCCTGTATTGGAAAGAAACATTCGCGGTTTATTCGAACACAAGCTGGTTACACCTGTCAAATTGGTACACGTTTTCTCAAAATATTTGGGTTTTCCAAGGCGCCCAGCCTGCTGGGCACGGTCAGAATAAAAGGCATTTTGATAGTAATAGCTAAGAACTCCCTGCCTGCATTATTTTAAAAACGTTTTCACACTTGTAACTGCCTTGAGCCTGTCAGCCTTGTCGGTACTCAGTGAAGGGATGAGCGGAACAGAAAGCGGCGGCGGAAGGACCAAGCCTACACGTGAAGGCTGCATGCATGTGACTGAGAGTTGCTGCTGTGCAGTCGAAAAGAAATGTGGAAAAAAAACCCAAAGTCTTTAAAACACTCTACAAAACAAAACACTGCAATCCAGTATGGCTTATTCTGATGCATTTACCATGAAGCTACTAGTAATTAATCCTACTAGCCTACTTTTGTGCAACAGCATCTGCTATTTTGATGGCATCTCCCTCCCCCCACTACCCCAAATACTTTACACCAACTGCAGGTTTCTTCCTTGCATTATATATTGCTTTTATTATCATTTTTCAGTCCTGCTTTTCAAACTTCTTAATACTTAAATGAGGATCTAATTCCTTACTGCTTGACTTACTTAAACTTTAAAATAAGTCCCATTGTTTTTCCTTTAACCTCACTATTACAACGCGCTCTACAAAAGCTTGCAAAAAAAGCCAAATTCATTAAATCCCTTTGCTGAAGTTAACTACTCAACATTTTTTTTTCTCCTATGATTCAAAACTTTACAAAGAGTTATAAAAAAGGTAAATGGGATTTGGCACCTTCAGAAAAAATTAAAAGTGTAACTTAGATCAAAAAAAATGCAGAAACAAAATCATTGATATTTACAAATTAAAACACCAGTGAAGACTAGGTCTTACTATGCTCTTTCACCTTGGTTTCTTTTAGAGTACTGTCTGTTACCGAGTTTCCTAAAAAAAAATTCGCTGATTACGGGTTGGAATGGATAGAGACAGATTCGCTTTTCCTCACAGTTCCTCCTCGGCGCCGACGGCTCCGCTGGCTGCCGGGCCCCTAGGAGAAGCGCGGCGCCGAGCGGTCGTTGGTCGTGGTCTTCTTGAGGCGCACGCCGCGGCGGATGGCGTGCAGCATGTCT